GTTTTGATGGTATCCTTACTAAAGTATCACTAGGTAATCAAGTTGGACCTACCCTAGGCTAATTACTTGAACTGCTCGAGGTCTAGAAATGATTTGACAGCAGAACACTTGTGTCTAGCAGTCCATGTAAAGTGAAGATAACATGCAATTAAGGAGTCAGAGCCATCACTCAGAGTGTCTTTGAAACAGTTTTAAGTTAACTATTGATGAATCTAAAGAGTTGTGACTGACAAGTATGTGCCTTTCTCCCTCTTGAAAAATCCCCATAACTAATTGGCATTGACTGTACTCAGTCTTGGCACAGCGTACAGGCCTCTGCATGAAGTGGAGTCCATTCTGAATGTGGACCAGTAGACTTCTAATTGTGCTCAGTTAGTCATGAGAAGAATGCTTGCACATTAAGTCGTGCTGCTTGTCTTAAACATTTGTCTACCTTATTCTATTAAAATGCATTTGGATCTCTGTTATTATAAATACTTCTGGAAACTTTTTTGGAGAAAAAAAATTAATCCACTAGAAAGGCAAGATACAGTTCCAAGGGACTAAGTGCCTTCTCAAGTACTCACCTGGCTTTTCAGGAAACCCTATAATGTGTGAATAACTCTAGCATTCTGTGGAATCATTACACCTGGCTGAGTGTTTTTTATATCCTAAAAGAAAATGTACCTAGTCAAATAGGTTTGGGAAATGCCAGGGCTAAGTAAAATAAAACAGATTCTTTATTGCAAAATGTCCTAAACTCTACTGTGTTAAAAGTTTGTGACTCCAAGAGGGGGCCAAAATGTGCAGTTACACTCAAATATATCAACTGTAGAATCCCTTTCCTTGAAGTACATCACAGGAGTAGTTTTGCTCAGAACATACATTTTTACAAATAGTTACTTATAGACTGATAATAGTAGCCACATGAAATGTTAAGCACTAATAGAGGTAACATGCTAATTTTTTACAGTGAGGTATTCAATTCAAAACTCTTTAAAGTTCTGTGATAGATACAAAAAGGACAGAAAATTTAGATAAGATCTTTAAAAATTAAAGCCATCCATAATTAGTATGAATTAGCACAATAACTAGCTCGTAATTCTCAGTCTTCTTCAATTGGTTGTGATGACAGAGAATGAACAATTTAAGGAACTGCTATGGAACTATTGCTAAGTTGAATACAATGGGAGACAGAAAATAGATAATTACCCCAGGACATTTAACAGTCCAACTGAAGAACAAAGTTTAAATAAGAGAACAATAAGTCACTTTAATTTCTCTGAAGGAAAGAAATGGACGCATTGATAATTCAGTTCTTCTAAATGTTCTCACTAAACCCCACTGTTCAATATCTTGATAATGTTCATGCTTTTTGCACAGTAAAATCCTTCTGAAATGAAATGCTTAGTAGATAACAAAATAGACTGATAGTAAAGAGAGAAAATAACAAAAAATACTGATAGTAAAGAGAGAAAAAACTTTTTAAAATGCCATGTTATGCAATAAGGTAGTGTCACATCTATGAGATGTTCAGTTATTATATAAATGTTTTTATGATGGTACTTTTCTCCTTAGATCTCATATAGTATGAATGAGAATACTGGAAAGAGAGCATGTCTATCATTCATGTCCTAAATAGATTTATAAATTTACATATTTATCCCTTCTGATCAGAGACTTACAACATTTCATACAGTTTTAATTTCTCTAGGAAAATTCCAATAAATTTGTACTTTGGTTTATTTATAGGCCATCTGAATTTAAGTGGGTTATATTTTTAATGATAACAATACAGTATAATTTAATGACCATTTTTCACATCCCATGACTAAAATATCAAAGATGAATTTAATTTGCAACACATTAATGAGGAGTTTCACTGCATCTCCTTCTGATATCTTTTAAAAGATATCTAATTATTTTTCACTCATTATTATGAAAGCTGTAAAAGTCAGGTCATATATATTTGCATATATTTCCTTTTATTTTTTAATCATTTTGCAACACTGCTAAATACTTCTTGAGGAAGTAAGAAGGAAAGTAGGTCTGTTTTCAGCTAATCCTACAGTTAGTACATTGAGTTGACGTTTGAACTTGACCACCCTGGAACTCACATGAATTGTTGATCTTTCATTTTTCAGAGATCAGTGATGCAAGAACAGACATTGCTTTCCATCTGCAACATTCTATAGTTGGTTAACCCAAAGTGAAGTAAAAAAGATTGGGGTGTTTAAGACATTTTACAGGAGCCAAGAAGGATGTACAATAAATATGTTGCTCCACTCTGTCAGATTCCAAAGTTGGATACATCAAAATAACCTTCAAATGTTTCATTATCAGTTGTGAAACACTTTGGAGAGTGCTGTGTCTTTGAACAGCCAAGTTTCTCACTTCACTGGGCAAATGCTTATGTGTGTTCATGAAACAGCAGCAAAAAAACAAAACAGAACAGAACAACATCAACAACAACCAAAAAAACAGGCCTGTAACAGCATTAATACCTTCACAATGCCAACCATCTGAATAAAGAACCATCACCCAAATCCATGTATGTACTAAATAATTATTTAATTAATTCAATAGTATATTCCAAATGCCTGTTATTGCCAGGGGTTGTCTTGCAAGCACTGTGTCAAATATCTGGCATCTTGACAAAAGCCTATATTTCATAACAATTTTTCTATTAAACAATTATTAGGCATCTCTTGTACAATTGTATTGAAGTACCATAGATATTTGCATGCCTCTGCTCTTAGCAAGCTCAAGCTCCTGTTATAAGATTAGTAATGATGGACAAAAGGTAAATCCTGAGGAAAGGAAGCTGAAGGACCAGAAACACACTCTTCACTAGTTACAACTCAGTCCTCTATTGGAAATACTGAAAGTTGACTTTCCTCTCATTTTCTTCTTACAAAAAAAATGGCTGCATTTGACAAATTATTTTCTAGAATACTATTGCCATCTTGTATCATAAATACCTTTTTTTCGTGTTTATATACCACAAATTCAATTGTATAATGCATTTCTAACTGTCTGTCTTGATTCTAGGAACAAACTGCCTTTTTTTGTTATTTTAAACTGCTTTATTAAAGATGAGATTGTCATTGACTATAATCAATTTCATAACTGAGAGATTTATGCAAATAACCAATGAGAAATGGGATTCTAATTGAGGTGAAGTCCTGGATTGTGACAGTTCCCATGGCCATATTAGCAAAGTTGCAGTCAGAAAAAGAGCCATTATCCTTTGGGACAGATACCTCAGTTTTTAGGATTAGGTAGAGAATATTAATGGGTTAGATTAATAGGAAATGATTAGCTCTTTTATGAGAATCTGCTTACTGTGCCATCACTTAATACCTAAACTTTCCTTTTAAATCATTAGTAATTTACTTTCAAATCAAAGATTTATATGACGAAAGACATTCCCTAACAAAACAAAGGGCTCTAAATGAGACCTGCTAATAAAATGTCAGTGGTCATAATCTATTAAAATGCCACAATTTTTATTACAATGTACTTACGATGTTTGGAAGTAAATAAGTCTCTTAAAAATCATTAACTATTATCCAAAAACCTACAGTTATTGAATCAGAAGTTCAAGTTCTCAAAAGCCCTTCCAAGAAACTGTATTTCTGCATCATATAAAGCTGGCTTCTCTAATGAGTAAAGAGGACTGCAAATTTCTAGAAAAGTTAAAACATTGCCTAAACTGTGGTATGGTTGATGTAGATTCTCAAACTAAGGGCGTTGTAGTTCTTTGAAAAGTCATTTATTTCCACTTTTTTGTAGCCCTGACTCTCTCTCTTTAGAAGAAATGTGGTTGATTGAAAAATCGTAAGATTAAGGCTCAGAGGATTGGCATTCTAGTCTTCCATGTTACACTAACACATCATATGTCAAAAGGCAAAGAACTTAAACAGTGTTTTTAATTTGTTTTGTTGCTTTTGAAATGGGAGGAGCAAAATCTCTCTTGCTTTCGTCCTAGACTTGTAAAATTTCAACTATCTGGATGCAAAAATTTTTTGAAGAGATAACTGTAATATACAAATATAATTTATGCTTTTGGCGGGGTGGGTTTCAGGGGTGGGTGAGTTTGTAAAATACTAATATTCCCTGGATTTCATCCCATGTTTCCCTGTATAGCATAGTACTGTTCGAAACACAATATGTACTTCTTCATTACAGTTATATGTATGCTCACTAATTAGGGCATGTGTGCTTATTCTCCTCTGCCCCAAGGATTAAAGTAGCATTATAATAGAACATGTGTCTATTACACAGAGTCCTATCCCCCATAGCTGTGCAGCGATGATAGTATGGACTCAATAAATACTTGTTGAATGAATGGAAACATGCCTCTAAATGCACTGTGCATTTATAGTGTACACTATACTTCGGTAGTTCTTAGAACAGTTGGAATTAAAACTAGTGTTTTTGACATTTGTTTTATTTGGGGGGCTGGGAATTTAGGTATGCTGCAAAATCTGATTTGTAGATCAGGTCTATGAGTATTAAAAAATTGATAACTCACTTCATAATCATTTTTCTTCTGACTTGAAATCCAAATATATTGTAATTCAAATATTTTATATTGAGGGAGAGTTTGATAGCATTTAATGCTGCACTGATAGCTTGATGATTTTTTCTTCTCTTTGCGTATCATCCAGGGTTATGTGATAATGTGATGATGTTTGAGAAAATGCGATTCACAGTTAAATAAACCTAGGCTCAAGTCCCAACCATTCCACCTCCTAGTTTCAAGACTTACTGCAAGCTGTTAATTTCCCTAAGCTTTTGTTGCCTCCTGTGGGCCTAATTATACTTCCCTTGTGAGATTGTTACGAGTACTAATGTGGTAATATACTTCAAGTGCTTAGCATGATACCTAACACACACTAAATACCCAGTAGTATAGCTGTTGTCATTTACACAGTGCATCTTCTAAACAGGTATTCTTTCTGTTTTGTTTTTTATTTTGTGTATCTGTATGTGTGTGTATATATTTCCTTTTACAGATGGATATACAACTGATGACATTGAGTTTTATTGGCGAGGAGATGATAATGCTGTAACAGGAGTAACAAAGATTGAACTTCCACAGTTCTCTATTGTAGATTACAAACTTATCACCAAGAAGGTTGTTTTTTCCACAGGTTTGTATCAGGGAAGAGGGTTAAGGGAAAAGGGACTTTATCATATTTTGTCAAAAGAGTTCACCTGTGTCAGGAGTGGGTCTGAAGGGAAGGGTGAGGATTCCAGGAGACCTAGGTCTGCTGAAAACCCTCAGTTCCTCAACAAGCCCATTGCTTATTTGGAACCCATCCAGTCATTTTCCAAAAGGCACACCCAGCAAAGTTGAGAGGGTTAGTTCAATGTATCTCATTTTCCAGAGAAGACTAATTGTTAAAGATAGAATACAGAAAGAATAACTTGGCCAGAGGTGTTCCCCCAGCTTTATGCATCTTACAGAATTGATCATAATCCTTTGAAACATACTGGGGACAAACCAAGTCACAGTTCACTCAAATCTGACCACAATGAAATTCTCTAAAGATAGTAGAGTAGGAAAATTTCATGTTTTCCCCGAAGGGTAGGTATTTCTTTATATATAGCCTTACCTCCTGTTTTGGAGCTAAAAGCTCTTCCAAATGTTGAGATTATCGTGATGACTTCTCCATCCTTATTCTTCCAGTCCTGAGGTTTTAGGTTGTCGAACTTGGTTTCATCAGCACAAATATTTAACAAAAAAAGCTGAAGAAAGTAATAATTTGTGACATGCTCATTAAGGTAAAAAATAACAAGCCCACAGGAATATCTCCCTTTATGCTTTGTTTATTGAAACGAATTCCCCATGCACAGAAAGAGCTAGTACTGTGACTAGATTTTGAACTGCCCTTCTGCTAAAGATGTAGTCACTTACTGTCCACGAAAACTACTTCAAACAAGACTTGTATGACTTAGAATACAAAGTAGTCTCTAGCTTTAAAATAAAAACAACAGAAACTTTTCCTAAGATTGAGGTCTTCTGATTCACTGAGATTCTATAGCAATATTCTTTATTTAATATTAAGACACTTGATTTAGCCCAAGAAGCTAAACAAGGCTTTCTTTTAATTAGTAAGAATATCCCCCCAACACACACACACTGTTTATCAATGTGACCCTTTTAAGTTCCAGGACTGTGTTCAGTTACAGATCTTGTTTAAAGAGTAATTCCCTAGATCACCACAAATTGAAGCCCCCAGCTTTAGTAATCTGATCCTTTTGTTACATCTCCCAAAATATTGCTCAGCAACAGTGATTCTCCACATTTTGTTGAGTTAGGGATCCCTTTAAAACTTTGATGAAAGCAATGAATTTAGAAAAAAAATAATACATACACATGAAAACCTTCACAAAAATTCAGGGAATTGCTGCACACTACGTAAAGCATCTGCATTGACCCCAGACTCAAACTGCATTTTGGAGCTTTCTACATCTGAAAAAATTTCTAAAATATAATCAGAGTGTGCAGCCTTATTCTGATGTACAAAAATACTTACAGGATGGACTTGCTGAGAAACAGGTAAGGAGGGAACAAAGGGACTGTTCCAAATTGTCTTGTCATCACAACTACAGAGAATGAGTATCTTTGACTGAATGCAGGAGGCTGAGCAGGGAAGAGCTGCCATTCTTTCAATACTGATGCTTACAGGGTGTATGCAACACTGAGTAACTCTGGCAAATCTAAAACCCAGTGTTATCAGACTACTTTTGCAGAAGCTAAAATTGAATTTAGGGAAGATGCAAAAACTGTTTATGCGTCTTTAAAGGATAGTATCTTATAAATATTGATTGATAATGCTGATGTTCTAAAATTGTCTTTCTAGGTTCCTATCCCAGGTTGTCTCTCAGCTTTAAACTTAAGAGAAACATTGGTTACTTTATCCTGCAAACATACATGCCTTCCATCTTGATCACGATTCTCTCCTGGGTCTCCTTCTGGATTAATTATGATGCATCAGCTGCAAGAGTGGCATTAGGTAGGCATTTTCTAACTTCCTGTAGAGTCGTACTCTGTGGGTGTGGGTGCATGTGTGCATGAGCAGACACAATTTCCTGACACTGGAATCCATGGTGTGAAATGAAACTTAACTGTGCACATTATAATAATTTGCCTGTGAGACTTTAAGTTATCTGATTCAGCATGAAATCAATTAAACACAAATTAGAACTCCTTCATGTCAATATTAGTCAGCTACATAGTTGTTGGAGATGAAATTAGTCCCATCAGTTTGATATTTTTATTGAAACACAGTTCATGTCATATTGCTTGATAATTGTTCAGTTTGTATCTGTGTTTCCTTACCTAGGAAAAGCTCCCTTCCATCTTTTTTTATTTTTATTTTTAATCTAAGCAAGAAACAAGTTAATATAGTATGTAACTGACAGGTAAGCAGAAAGAATTCTAAAGTCTTATTAGATTTTGGAGTAGTGTGGTATAAGGCAAGAAACACAAAAGTAAGAATTTTGGAATATAATCCATGTCATTGTTTATCTTATGTTTGATTTTTTTTCTGTCATTAGCAACAGAGGAAGGGATCATATTATGTGTTTTTATGTTACTAACTCCAGATATATAGTGAATTATGCATTTTAACTCCAGTAAATTATGACCTTTTACAGAATTTTGTGCCCATTATATCTGTAGCGTCTTACACAGTGAATGGTGTTCAGTAAATATTTGCTGAATAATCTAATAGATGAAATTTGTAAATATCTTATCATCCCAAAGTGAAAACCTGTTATCAACTTTATGTCTGTTACAATAATAATAATATACTTTTTAAAAGAAAATTTGAATTTCTTTTTATGTAAGCAATTTAATACTCAGTCAGAAATACCTTAAATTGAGATTTAGATAAATGGCAAAATCAGCATTTCAGTTTTATATTATGCATATTGTACAGGATAATCTTTAGTTGAAATGATGGAGAGAAAAATGAAATGGGAGAATGTTTCAAAATGACTAAAATTATAGAAAAGATATGAGAACTATAAGATGCCTAGATCTAAAGCAAGAACAGGGTATTTCTGGCCATGTTAGAATCTGATGCTGAAATTTATTTTTTCTGTGGCTGTTTTATGAACATGTAGAAAAAAAGGCAAAAATTATGATCTTATCACAGAATATTAAATCAGAAAACTTATGTTCCAAAAATATCATAGAAACAAAACTTAACATTTGGAATATATTATTGGAATGCTTAAGAACACTGGTTTCTGAGTCACAGAGATCCCTGTTCAAATGTTGACTCTACAATTTCCCATCTATGTGATCTTGACCTCTGAGCTTTATTTTCACATCACTCATTTGCTACAAAGCTGGACTGTATCCTACTCAGGACTCTGGACTCCCAGTGCTTTTACCCAGCATATCTCTGTCAACCCCTCTAATTAGAGCTTTGAAGGACACTACTCCCCACTGTCAGAGATTCTCAGCTGGACACACAATTATAACCTGACTCAGTGTGGCATTTTCCATAAGGAATCCTATAATACTTCTATATTATGTATCTGTGCACTGCATGCACAGTTGCCCAATGCAGAAGCATGAGGGCTAGACACCTACATCTCTGTTGCCCTCCACCTCCAGTTTCCAAACATTTATTTCCTCTTCATCACTTAGGTTTTTTTGAAAAACTCTTACCTGGTATTCCTTATTCCTGTCTTGTAAGCTGCCCCTCTTTCCTCTATACTGCTATTAGAGTGATTACCCTAAATATAATGTGTCCCTATGCCTCCCTGCTTGAAGCTGATCAGTGGCCCCAAATTGCCTTCAGTTGTGTTCAAACTCCCCATTAGACTCTGCATATATGGCTTTCCATTATGCAGCCCTTACTTAATCTTCACTCTATTCACTGTTCTTCCTATCATATTCCGTAATGTACTCATATTGACTTTCTTGAGATGCTTTTAATGGGCTGTGTACTTTCACTCCTCCCCAAAAGCACCCCTTTATAAAATTTCTGTCCACACCAATGCCTGGTCTATTGTCATCTCTGTCCACCAGTCCTTAGTCACCTGACTCACTCACTAATTCTATAGGACTCAGCTCAAGCCTCCATTTCCTGATCTCTTCCCTGCCGCATCACAAGGCTGAGCTAGGATCTTCGTATTCTCAGCTTCCAGCTGGCACACATATCTACCATGGCATTTAATGCACATCTCTATCCCCCCACTAGATATATAACTATAAATATTAAAATATAATTAAATTAAATGTTCCAAAATGGTTAATATTTACTGTAAATTATTTATACATAACTCTGGGGCTGGTATATAATAAGGTCCAGTAAATATTTTGCAGCATTTATTAATGAGTTAAAGAGTACAGTGAACCTTTCTGGCTAGGATGAAAGGAATAAGGATATAGAAACATTGTTACTCTAACTCACTCATGTTTTTCAGGAATTACAACTGTCCTCACAATGACCACAATCAATACCCACCTCCGCGAGACTCTCCCTAAGATCCCCTATGTGAAGGCCATCGACATGTATCTCATGGGCTGTTTCGTGTTTGTTTTCATGGCCCTTCTGGAATATGCTTTGGTCAACTACATCTTCTTTGGGAGGGGACCCCAACGTCAAAAGAAGGCAGCTGAGAAGGCTGCTAGTGCCAACAATGAGAAGATGCGCCTGGATGTCAACAAGGTAATTTCAGAGGCAAGCCCCCCTTGCCACTTAAACTTATAGAAGAACGCCAGCAATGCAGGTTAATGGCCTTGTTTCACAAATGAGGAAACCAAAGTCCAAGGAAAAGAAAGGGTAATATTTTTTCCCAAACCACAAAGATAATTAGTGAAGGAGGCACAAGTAGGGCTCAAATTTACCACACAACATTCAGATGCCCTTTACCTTAACACTGGGATTACCTGAACCATAGTCGTCTGAGAATCGTCTTTGTAATTTTTCTCATATATGAATATAATGTGTCCTATTATTTAGTATACACACACACACACACACACACACACACACATATACACATATATATTTAAATTGACTCACTTTATTTAAATCTATTCAAAGGAAATTTCATATCATTTAAATCAGTATTACTTGCTAGGAGGATAATTTTAAGTATAAATAAAAAGAAAACTGTAAATTCTAGGTTATATTAGATAAAAGTTCTGGACCTGCGCTCTGCATTCTTTTTTATTTAAAAGGGAAATAAGCAAGTACAGAGATATACTAAAGACCCACTAGTGACCAACAGACTTTGTCCATGAAGTCATCAGAAGGATAAAAAAAAGAAGAGAGGACGAAAATAATTTTTTTTTCCTTAAGTGACAGATACTTATTGATGCCTTGAACATGTACCACTTAAAATCACTGAAACATTTGGGTACAGGAGGCCACCATCTTGTTTAGGTCAGGTTGTCAAAGAACAATTCCCACACAGTTGTAAACCCGGTTTATTCTTAAAAGCAGTGGTTCTCAATCTTGGGTGTACAATTGAATGACTGGGAAAGCATTACAAAAATAATGAAGCCTGGGTTCCTTCCCCAGAAATCCTGATTTGATTGTATTCGGGTATGCCTGCCTGCCCATCATTATTTTTTAAATTCTCCAAATGATATTCTAATTTGCAGCCAAGATTTAGAAGCTCCATTTTGAGGCTTTTGACAGCACTTTCATTGGATCCAGCCCTCTTTACTCTCAAAATATAACTTCACCTGGCTACTTTAAAGAACTTTCTACACTAATACACAATATTTACGTGTTCTGTACGTAATATGTATTTTCCCATAGTCCAAATTTAGACTCTTCGAAATAGACAAAACAAGGTCTTATTTTAATATATGACATAAACAGTATTTATAAAGCAGTGAATAATGTTGGATTTGATAAATAGCTCATAGTGATGGCATTAGGAAAACAGAAAACCTTTTAAATGATCTGGAATTATTAACTACACAAATAATTATTTAATTGACATTTTAATATTCCCAATTTCAATTTAATTCCAAGGATAGCACTCCATAAATAATCTCTGTCATTGAGTTTTCTTTGGAGCAAAGCCAGTGAAATCTTCTGATACATTAATGTTTTCCACATATCCATAGGTCTGATATTTGATTTTAGACTATTTTCTAATCAAAGGCATTCCTTTGCCAGGAGATGATATTTGTAATGATGCAAATTTTAAGTATTTGGTCTAGGAAATTGTCAATTTTTTCCCAATGCCCGAGGCTTCATTTATTACAATCTGCCAATAGATTCCAATCGAGCATTATGGCACCCTAGGGCTGTCAAATGAAAAAATGCTTTTGAAACTCGTTTTATGATTTTCCTGATATAGTAGCTTTAGTAAAGAAAATAAAATGAATAAATAAATAAAGCTATCTCATAGGACTGTGGTTTGAAATGAGTCTAAATCAATTGCCTAATGCAAAGCTGACTTAATAAGATAACATCTGATCTCTTTTTACTTTTATCTACCTTATTTTTCATACCAATTTGCACTTAAATGATAAATTTAAGACCAAAGAGTGGCAGTTTTATGGCAAACTGAACCTAGAGAGCTTCAGATAGTTCTAAATTCAATGTACTGAGATGGAGGTAGAGCATGGTTCGCTAAGCAGCTACCCTACAGTAGCAAAAGCCTGTCTTCTTGTTTGAAGTTGGACGCAACATTCAGAGCATAGAATATAAAAGACAAAAAAGATACCAGAGTTCTTTTAATACAGTGCATCTCAAAACACAGGCGATTTTGTCCCCCACCCCACCCCACCCCCCGAGGATCCTTGGCAATGTCTATAGATATTTTGAGTTGTGAAAACTGGGAAGAGAAGATTGCTATTGCTATCTGGTAGGTAGAGGCCAGGGATGCCCCTAAACATCCTGCAGTTCATTGGACAGCCTCCATTAAAGGAGTTATCCAGCCCAAAATGTTGATATTGCTTAGATAGAAAAGATCTACTCTAGTCCGAACTCTTGGTTTTTAACATGAGAAATTAAGGCACCCAGAAATATAACATGTTTGACCTATCCCTAAAATTCTTTATCATGAAAGGTTTCTTTGATCAGCATACTAACATCAAGATATTAAAAGTTATAATTTAATACAATGGTTCCAAACAAATATTTAGAGGCAGTGAAGTTTAATATTAACCCCCTATTTAATAGTTAGTTATGTGGCAATAGATGAAAAGATAGTCAGCCTCTTTGACCCTTCAGTTTCCTCATCTGTAAAATAGGGTTAATTCCTCTCATGGGTTATTACGAAGATTATTTGTGATAATACATAGAGAAGATAACATAGTCCCCAGTATGGTAAGCATTCAGTCAGTGGTAAATGTTAATAAAGTATTAAATATTATAAATGATAAGCATTATTATTTTTTAAAACAGAATTTACAGTCTCTAGATTTATTGATGATGTTTGTATGTTTTATATGATTCAGCATGTAGGATGCAATCCCATCCCTAAAAGAGATAACTATACACAGATGAATGTTTCACATTGGAATTTCTAGAGTCAAAGCAAGGAAATAATTTTTCAACCAGTAATAGCTGTAAAATCTATAGCACACCACCTACAAACTTTACCGATATTTAGGCCAGAAAATTTACAGCCATCTTGATTGGATTAAAACAGAAGGTGACCATCTACATTCCAGATTCTCACGGTTTCTTTTTTAATCCAACATGAGAGGTTAGAGAAGATCCACAAGGGCTTTGATTGCTCAGTGCTTTATTTTTTGTATCAGCATCATGAATAATGCCACAGTATTTCTTGGGCTTCTTTTCATCTGTAATTCTAAAGTTCTTTTTTTTTTTCCCAAAGATCAGGCACATATAATCAACTAAGTATTGTTGGATGCTCTGGAAAAATCAGTCACTAAGAGAGTGACTTTTTCAGCTTCCATTGATAGTTTTCTAGAGACAGAAGCAGCATGACAGACCATCTAAAGTGATTTCTAAACTGTGCTCTGTCCTAAGGTCAGGGAAGGATGAAAATGGGAAGCTAGCCAGGTGGGAGCCCACTGTTGCTTCAATGGCATACTTCTACATTTTTCCAGTCTCTTCTCTGTATGAGCATCCTGTCATTTTACTGATAGAAAAACAAAGGCTTTTAAAGCAAGTGAAATATCCAAAGTTGCTTAGCAAAGTTAACTGAATTTTTGAGACTTGAAGTAAGTGTTCCAATCCTTCCCCAGTGTACACTTTGCTGTCCTAGCAAATGAAAAATAATATAAAATTTAGAATCTGATTCCAGATTAGTCCATATATTCAATACAGTTGACTTTACTTGAAAAAACCCATCTGGGTACATGCAAGAGTCCATGGCTGGCAAGTAGGCTCACTTTCACAGTTGTCTCCATGTGACAAATAAAGTTGTAAAATACTAAAATTTTTAAAATAAACCTTAACCAACAGGATATTTTTTCCCAAGTATCTTCAGGAGTAGTTTGAAAGACTGTAATCTCTGTCCTAGCATCAGGAGAGCCCTTCCTATTATCCCTTACATTCTTCTATTTGTGGTTAGGGGTATGTGTGTTTCCTTATAGAATTTGTTCTTAAATTTTGCCCACTTTTCTTGTTCATGACTTCAAGTTTTCAACTCTCCTTTTTTTTAATGTTAAGCTTTATGTTGATTCATTGTTTATTTTGCTCCCAATAACTAAGTATATACATATTTGAGGATTTAATTAATTCTGCCTTTTCACCAGTTTGATTCTTGCAAACTGAAATGCCTCCTATATTCTGGTCATATTGAGGGACCCACAACCACCAGTTTTCCAAATAAAGCTGCACCAAAAAGATCTCCACTTGGGAGTCTTTTTTATTCTGCATTCATGGGTGTTGCGCATCTCTGTGTTGTGTTTATCCATTGTGCTTAATTTTTTGTTGTGCAAAGCCAATAAGATCTTTTTAAATCCATTAATTTCTAGGGCTTGGAATTAGTTTTTAAATGATAGGTTGAGAAGATACAACGAAGTAGAAGTCCTATTCTTTGCTAGCACCAGTCTTTCTAAAGACCAAGTAACATTTATCTATATCCAATTTACTTGAACCACAAGTCCTAATCTAGTGGTATCAGTTGATTTAATTAGCACATTCTCTACTTTGTCTTCCAGATTTTTTATAAAGATATTAAACAAAATGGGACCCAATATCGATCCTTGTGGGACCCAACTGGAAACCTCTCCCCAACTAGACGGACTACCAATTACGATTTCTCTCTGTATACGGTTAGATAGCCAGTTTTTCATCCATTTATTTGTATTTCTGTTGGAGCCAATTTGCTTAGCTGTCCCCTTTAAAATAATGTGCGGCAATCTTTGCAGATGACCTATGGACTTGTATTCACAGAGACTTAGAGATAAGTTAAATGTTTTTATGAGACCCTAGTGGGGTTTCCCTGAATTTGTCTTTTTTAATACATCTCTGATGAACCTAAGTGGACTGTGTTCCACTCAGTCATTATTGTGCTAGAGAAAGAAAACTGGCATTTCTTAGTTTTCTTGTTGTGTTTCATTTGGTTAGTGGAAAAGGTGGAGAATTATACATTCTTTCTATTGGTTGGCTCAGAATTCAGGAACCTGTATTTTCCATCTTAGATTATTAGTATGTGTCTAAGAATGTTGTTTGCATCAAGTCCTTATTGCTTTATTGTCATTCATTTTACAATAAGTATTATTTTG